GAAAATCAAGAATACTAATTTGTTGATGGAGGTATCGTTAAAAAGTTATTAACGTTCAAAGTTTCGCCCGTACTGAATTTTTTTCTAGAAAGTGGGTAGGATTTCGGGGGTAGGTCTATTCACCAAAAATTCTTGTAATTGATCCCTGTAACTAAATATAATTTTTTTAGTATAATTTGAAATTTTTTAATCTCGTCTAAAAATCTCAGTACCTGCTCGAATTTTTTTCTCGAAAGTGAATAGGAATTCAGAGGTATGTATGTTCACCAAAAATTATTGTAATTAACCCCCCTAGCTAAAAATAATTTTTCCAGGAGGATTTGAAATATTTTAATTTAATTTTTTAATAACTTTTTAACGAAGCCCCAGTCGAGAAATTTATATTCTTGATTTTCGTTTTATTTTGGCCTGTAGAATCTCCCATTAAAATTTTTCCCAGGGGTGGTTAAACACCCTGTATATCGATTTTGATAAACAGCAGAAATCTCTGTTACCATAGGAAGGAAAGGGAACATTTTGTTATCTATTTTTGATAACAATTTCGAATTTCATTGCGTATCGTAATTTTTATCTGTGTATTAACAGTAGGGAACACACCGACGAATACAAACCTTACCAACGTAACGTAACAAAATAAATATTAAGTCAATAGCCCTGAATTTAAAAAGAACCAAGATACTTAGCCTACGTACTAGAATAACGTAAATAACCTCGACTTCAGAACTACATTCATGAACGATATAATAAATTAAATATAACTCACACTTTTGTCGATTTATCGTAGCAGATGGCAACATTCTTGAATTTGCTTCTTAAAACTGACGTAAAAAAGATTCTTCTTCCGACAGAGTGTTTAATAATCTTCAAAAAGTAATATGGCTCGTATTTTCTTCAAATTTATTTGTTTACTTTCCATTTCGTAACTCTCACTGCATTTAAATGACACGTTTTCGATCATAAACAATACTTTTATCACAAATTAGGTATTATCCACGCCACCGATTTCATAAAAGCTTGTCTTCTAAAAAACCGGAATACTAACTACGTTACAAATTATCAGACGTACAACGCACTCTGTGTTTGCGGACCATGACTGAGAATTATATTTAACCCGATCATCGACGTCGGTAACATTAGCAAATTCACGAATTTTGCTTCTGATGCAATGTCGAGAAAAGTTTTGATAAAAAATTATTTACACATTATACGTTTGCATGATTGACATTAAATGAATATACTACGAAATATCGATCATTTACTTCCATTTACCTTGTAAAATTACTGAGTAATTTCTTTCTTTTGATTATACATTAGTATCACCCAAAATGCTTACAAATATACGTTTGTTGCAACGGTTTATTAATTCTATTATAGTGGTACATATATTATCCCTTCCTATATACGTTAATTAATTAATATAATATGCGTCGTACCGCATTTTGAAGTCACGCGACAGAACTGTTTGTTCGGTATTATATGTAATTAAATAATATAAATTACTCAAAATATTGTTCCTACCTTACACATATGCTTCATACTAACTAATTCCTGCATAAATGACCAGGTATAAGGCTACTATTTGTTCTAATTAATTAAAACATTCACTTCACTGTCCGACACTGATTTTAACGCGGGAAAACTAGTTTATGGGGTGAAGGGGTAGCAAGGTTCTTGATTTTCCCTTCAGGTGGCGCGATCAGTACCATCGATGCTGCGGGAGTAGGGGAAGCGGCCATGTTGCGTGAAGCCGCATGGCGGGCCAGCCTTTATTCAGCTCTCATAGCGTGCGGACGTGTCCACGCGGCCCAGTTATTTTCCAATAAACAGTTCCTTTTGTTACTATTACGCTGGACGCGTTCATTTATTCATTCTCCTGAGTCCCCTTCCTGGAGCCTGGAGATACGTGGGTGACATTCACCCACATCGATCGCGTATCGAAAGTTGCACAATTTCTTTTATGGTAGGAAATATCTTTATTCAATAATGAATTTCTCCGTTCTAATTTATAACCTATTCCCATCTTTCGAACAGCTTAATTCCTCGTTCACAAAGAACCTAATCAAGAGTTTCCCCATGAAAAACCTAATTAGGAGCTGTTTAATGGCCTCTTCGGAATCGAAGCTTTGTCTATCGAAAGAATTTTACAAGTAGATGGTAAGAAATTTTTATTTTAACTTATTTTATCGTCGTATTTTATTTTTTAAATAAAAAGACCAAAATTATAAAACAAATCCAATCTCCTAACTATAATTTAAATGTTAATTATCGAATAGCTGTATACTTTAAAGATTTTAACTGAAGTTTGTTGCGTTCTAGAATGATCTTTTTGATCAACCCAATGCATATGCATTTTGAATAACGGATGTTTGTTGCTCCGTTATTTGTTCAATAAAAATGACGAACGAATAAACACGTGTTCGAATAACTTGTTCGACCGAATAAACATTACGAGTAAACTATTATACGACGATTTTATTCGTTATTATTCGAATAGAATTTTGCTCATGCCTGGTGCATAAACATATATTGATAAATGTTTATGAACGTTGTCCGTTTTGTTTGTAAAGAAACTTGTTGATTACGGTATTATACTGATTAAGTTTAAAAAGAAACGTGTCCTACTTGAGCATCTTGAATAAGTATGCTGATATCTCGCGTTTCTCGACCTGAGAAAAATGATAAGCACACGTTTATGTATTTCATGGCTCTTTGCTATGTTCCGAAAAGGAGGGAAAATAGTTTTAGAAAAATGCACATTCGAGATTAATTTGGTTCGCGTGTTCAAACCGAAAGTTATGTTTATGAATCACGTCCTTTGCAAGAAGTAATTTACCGTTAAAAGCAGAACGTAGGACAGAGAAAGGAAAACGTAGTTCGTAGACTTCTCTAGCAGTTGGCGCCAGAGAGAAACGATATTAATGGCTGTGCGTTCAAAATACAACAACATGCATACGGTATCGCAAAACTACGAAAGACGGTGAATCAAGTGACAGGTGTGGTAATTGCAGTAATTGTTGTAAAATGAAACGGCATGTTTCATCTGATGCGATTCCTTAGCGGACTCCTTTTGCTTGTTCTCACGATACCGCTGAGCAATGGTGCGAATAAGACGTATAAGATCGACTGCAGTAACCTACGAATGGGGCAGTACATCTGCCCTCATCCCAATTATGATTTCATAGATCCAGAAACGCAACAACCGAAGGGTTGCACCAAGGAGAATAAAGCCAAGGGTGAGCGAAATCTCGTTTTCGTTTCGTTAGTATCTTGCGAATAGAAAAGTGTTCAACCTAACCTGCATTTAAAAAATACTTCCTTCAAGAATTTGGTCGTACAGTCGTTAGTTATTCTGGAAATTGTTTCGTTCTTTTCCTCCTTGATGGATCCAACGTCTTCCTCAGTTTCTGTTTAACCTTTTAACAAGTGTTGTTTTGTTAAATATGAAAATATCAATTATATAATTGTATTTTCTTGTCAGTGTTGTGTCTGGCTGCGGATGGCCTCATTTGTACAGAAACACAGAATAATACGTTCAAGAAGGACATTCCTTGTAAATGGACGTAAGTACATGTCATTACATGAGTGCTCTTGTAATTATACATATCTTAACGATTCGTTAGCTGGCAATTTTAGCCTGCGGTTTATTGTAGCGTAAAACGTAGAAACATTTGATAATTCAGTGGTGTCCTGTTATTTTACAGCATTCCCAATTAAAGTAGCATTATTTATAATTTTACTATACTTTTAATAAATTCTCTGATTTCCATAGTTTTACAAGTGTTAGCAATAATAGTTATTGGACAGCCCTGTATTTCTAAGGTAGAGTTACATCAAGAAATAGGAAAAGTATACTTTAGTATTTATCTTTAAAACTTGTATATGTATAATGGTATGTGGAATAAAGTTTCTGCTTGTATTGTTTTTTTACAGAAATGGATATTCCTTTGAAACATCATTGTTACTCTCTATATTTCTTGGCATGTTTGGAGCAGATAGATTTTACCTAGGGTATCCAGCATTGGGTTTGCTCAAGCTGAGTACTTTAGGATTCCTCTTTCTTGGCCAATTTGTCGATGTAATACTTATAGCGACACAAATTGTAGGACCTGCAGATGGTTCGCATTATGTGATGCCATATTATGGTGCAGGGATTCATATCATAACGAGTAATAATTTTACGTTCAGAGTGCCACAATACGAATGCTGAAAAAGTTCTAATCAGAAGTTACATGATACTTTGAAAATTGTACAGTCCCAGCTTTTATCACGAGCAACGATATGCAATCCTAGAATCGAGTCCTATTGCAACATACCTGGAAGCAAATTGCTGTGTATGCTATTTTAATGAGCAAACAAAAAATCATCTTGTAGATATGTAATTCAACGAAACATTGTATATACAGATTTGTTACTGACTTATTATATCTATTGCCACTATAGTCGTATAATAAATATTTGTTTTTATTTCCAAGCGTTTTTTACCCGTCCATCTCCCGTTTTACTGTATCTGTTACAAAAAATTGCAAACTTTGCATTTGTACCGATATATTTCGTTTTGTTTTATTTCTCGTAATTATGTACTATCTTCGATATCGCGGGATCTTTATTGTCCTTGGATGCATATTTTTCATTAATTCGTAGAACGTGCTTACCAACGCGTTTTGCCATTGTTGATTACATGCAATCATTAAGTAAAAGGAAAACACATAAATTTTATTAACTGATCGATAATGTACGATTTTGTTTGATGAAGTTATTGCACGCATTGTTACGTTGTCAAAAATGACACGAAATGACGTTAATCGTATCATTCTTTACGAAAGGTGTCTGTATTTGGCACGCGTAATTATTATCGAGCACGTCTTTGATATAAAAAAGCCAGGACGCGCTGGCATGAGAGTCATACAACTTTCAGAACCGACGAAAAAGAGTATGCTAATTATTCAGCTGCAAACTCAATCAGTACTTACAAACCAACTAGTGTTATCTAAACATCCAATATGAAGAATTTTGTTCTACTTCTATTACTGTACCAAATAGACCTCAATGTCGTTAGTCAACCAGTACAGAAACTGATCGTGAGTGCTAAATTATTTTACCTTTTTCTTTGTATAATGTATTTAATAGTGTACCATTCATCTTTATAAATAAATGCTTGTCTACCTACAGGATGTAGATACAGGTACAAATGTTCCCAATGAAAGAATGTTGAAGCCTCAGACATCAGCATGCAGTGCCAACCAATACTTTGAGGAAAAGGAGGGACGTTGTTTGGGTGTAACAGGTGGTGGTAAAGTGATTTATTCGAATAACACAGTATCGTGTGGTACCAATGTGCTGAAGCCTTACCTCACCAATCCCAGATATTACTATGTTTGCAAAAGAAACAAAACGATACTGGTCCAGTGCGCTCAAGGCCAACATTTTGAGAATCGGCTACAGAAATGCATTCTCGACGATAATAGTGATTTAATCTCCACTACCGAACCAAGTCTGGCAATGTTTGATTCGATTCAACTGCCCGGTTGTGAGAAACCTGGATCGTTTCCGGTACCAGGTGACTGTACACTGTTCTACATTTGCGAGACTAACGGCGATCGGATGTCCCAAAATATTTTCAAATGCCCCAGAACCATGATCTATGATCCACAAACGGAAATGTGCATCCTTTTTTCGCCCAAAGACGAAAAAGAGGACATTAAAAAATCAACTACCGAAGCATCCTGCGTCGATGTCTCCACTACCGATTCCAATTCACTCCTTTCAGAGTCGTTCACTGGAGATGATAAAACATCGATCTATGAAACAACAATTGCAACATCCGATGCAGAAGATAGTATTTTAACGACGGATAAATACGACAGCACTACCGCTGCGATAACGCACATCGAGGATAAATTGTTATCAAAGACCGTTCCTTATACTCAAGAAATACCTCCTGAATTCATGGAATTTGGCGATAATTTTGGTAGCACAAGTTCAGGCGTTACGTATTCGACTTGTGCAGACGAGCTCATAACATCAGAAGAAGTGGGATCGACCGAATCATCGTTACTGTCTTTTATTTCGGAAGGTTCAAGTTTAAACAAACAATATAGTACAGTTGAGGAAAGCACCATGGCCTCTACAAGCACTATAGATTCAGCAAGTGAAGTAAATGCATCTACAGAAATGGGGATAACTGAACCAGCATTAAAAATCTCTGATTTAAAAACGTCAGTATTAAATGAAGAATATAATACATCTCCATCTTCAGATGAATTCATAGATTTGGAAGAAATGAATACATCTCCAGAAGTAGGATCAAGCGAATCGTCGTTGGAGACTTCTACTTTAAAAGAATTAAGTTCCAATGAACAATATAATACAGTTGAAGTAAGTACCACGAGCCCTGGAAGTATTTCACATTCAACAAGTGCAATTGAATTCACACCTTTGGAAGAAGTAAGCTCGTCTACGGAAATGGGAATAAATGAACAATATACTACAGTTGAGGAAAGTACCATAAGCCCTGTAAGTATATCGTTTTCAACGGGAGCGAGTGAGATCACATCTTCGGAAGAAATAAATACGTCTGTACCAATGGAAATAAGCGATACAGTGTCAAAGTCTGTTACTCCGGACATATTTATTTCACATGAAAGCACGACCGAAGAAAGTGTTACTGAACAATCAATCACCGAAACTGAATCGATCGATTTTACTTCAAGAACTTCGTCGATTGATTTCTGGACTCCTACGTTTCCCAAGTCTAGTAACAAAGGGACGATTATGGGATCTCTTTCGTTACTAGATGATGCATTTCCTATTTTAAACGAATTTCCATCTTCTACGGAACAATCGACCTTAAATGATATAATTGACACCACTGTCTTCAACGGTATAAATGATGAACTTTCAAAGTGGAGTGATACTGTATCAACTGAAAATAATATTGAAGATACAAGACAAATGTCTACCTTGCAACCATATCAGCCGAGTATTGTTGAAAGTGCAAGTTCCACAAGTTTTACGAATTTCATATCGACAACGGAATCGAATTATGACTTCGCGTTATCGAATAGTTCCGATGCAGCAAATTATTTCAGTACAGTAGCTGAAGAAAATGTAACCGGCATACCTAACGAATCTGATGAAACGTCGAGTGAAATCGTGCAAATTATAAAAACGTTGAATAAAGTATCGTCGTTAGAGTCAACGATTACAGAAGAGAACAAGAATAATGATACATTGCATTCATTAGAGCCTAAATCGAATTCAAGGCATTCTGATAGTGAAACAAATTTGAATACATGCTTGAAAATGTTACAGTCTCCAGTTACAGAAAAGCAGCGAAATGTATCGTCAAAGCAAAATAAAACTGTCCCTGGAAGACAATATGTAACGATACCGCAAACATCAGACTCTAGGAAAACGATATCAACGCATATCGCATTGCCTTTAACGTCAGCAGTATTAAATTTGACTGATAAATTCGAGCGCCATGTTAGGGATATTTTATGCAGCATTTTTAAAATTTGCGCGTAGTACTTGATATATTTATATCAATTTGCTGAGCCTTATATTAATCTTATTTAAAATTGTACGATAATTTATTTAAAATCATAAAAAGAAAAAATGACTATAGGTGTAAGGGTATAAATAAACAGATTACATATGTTTACAAATATTATAAATATGTGTATATATTTATACGCTTATATACATTTGAATCTGAGGTAGTCCAACACACATTCCCGAAAATCTCCACTAGCCATATGTACTATTATTACACAATAAATATTATGCATTTTAAATACTGATTCCAGTAATTGTACTATATCGTCAAATTTTACTAACATTACGTATTTTCTTTGTCTTGTTCGTTTACTAAAGTATAATACACACCCCCTTTCTTTATTAACTCTGTATGAGTACCCATCTAAAAAACGGATATTACGATAATGAATATTTAATTGTAAATTGTTGCATTGAAATTTGTATTTTAATATCTACCTCCACAATGACCCCTTTTTGCAATACGACAATGATGTCAGCAGTTTTAACTGTACTTAATCTATGAGCAATTACTAAGACTGTCCTGCCCCGTGTAGCACCCTCAAGTGCTTTTTGAACAATTCTTTCACTTTTATAATCTAATGCACTGAAGCCGAGCGTATAAAATTATAAAAAAATATAAAACCTATTTAAAAAATTCAATATAAAATATATTCTTACCTTGTAGCTTCGTCCAAAATTAAAATAGACGGTCTTTTGAGTAAAGCTCTGGCGATAGCGATTCGTTGTTTTTGTCCACCAGAAAGTTGAGCTCCTCTTTCACCTACCTGTGTTTCGTATTTATTTGGGAACTTTGCAATAAATTCATGTGCATTTGCTTCTTTTGCTGCTTCAATTACCTGGGAATATCAAATGGTAAATTCAGCGAAATTCGTATTATCAGAAATATAACTTATATTCAATTTTAAGGCAATAATACTTACATCTTCGTCTGTAGCATCCTGTTTCCCATACCTTATATTTTCCATAATGCTTGTAGCAAATAAAATAGGTTCCTGGTCTATATATCCTAAAACATTACCTCTAAGGTATCCAGCATTGAGCGATCTAAGATCTTTACCGTCGATTTTGATCGAGCCCTCGTTAACATCGTAAAATCTAAAATATTTTACGACAGTTATTAAAAAAATCGTAATAAAAAGGGGTATTTATTACGCGAGAAAGAGATTCCGGCTAATTAATTGAGAAATTACCTTTCTAATAAAGCGGCTATCGTTGATTTACCATTACCGCTAGCACCAACAATAGCTACCGTTTTTCCAGCTGGAATGTTTAAGTTAAAATTCTTTAAAACAATATGGTCGGGCCTAGTGGGATAACTAAACTTGACATTATTAAAAGTTATATTTCCTGCAAGCGATTGGTCTGTAATAATTTGTCCAGTAACCATCATTGGTGATGGTGGCATGTCCAAATACTGTTGCGATAAATTACGAGACATTAAATAAGAAATAGTTTGTGACGATATTAAGTATTTTTAATTTAAACTATTTGTATACCTCGAAAATTCTCGCCCCAGCACTAATACCCTTAACATAGGTTCCAAATAATAATGACAATTGTGATAGAGAGCGTTGTATAGTTTGTGTAGCCATTAAAAATGCCATCAATTCTCCTGGAGATAGCTGTCCAGTAGACATTAGATGTCCACCAAAGTACAATGTACAAAGTAAAATACCATTGAGGAACAGATTTGTTCCTCCCTGGAATATACCAATTCCAAATCCCAATTTTTCATATAACTTAGACCCTAATTCCACCTCTTTAGAAAACATTTCTGTTTCTTTCTCTTCTGCTGCAAAAGCCTTTACCTATATGTAGATCAATAAAAGAAACCAATCACAATCATTATAGAATACAAATAAATTTGTTATTATTATTATCATACCGTTCTTATATTTTGTATAGCCTCCTCACAAACAGCTGTAGATTTAGCAATTTGATCTTGGGCCCGTATTGATAATTGTCGTAAATTTCTTCCAAGCAATGTACCAATAAAAATTATAGTTGGCATAGAAAACACCATTACAGCAGTTAGTTCTGGTGAAATCATTACTACTGAAACTATACATCCAATAATTTGTGTAGTACTTCTTAAACCTTGTGATATGCAGGTTTTGAAGGTACTTTTAAAATCTTGAATATCGCTCGTTAATCGACTGATTATTTCGCCGCTGCGATTTTGATCAAAAAACGCGATGTCTTGCATAATAATCGATTTGAATAAATCTTGACGTAATTTCATTGCTATCCTCTCACCCACGTGAGAAAGTGTATAAATATAGACGAATGTAAAAAGTGCCTGAGAAACAAATTTTTTTTTTCAGGCATTAAAATATTTTTTGTCTATATTATCTATAGTAAAAAATATTAATTATTTATAAAGTCATTAATCACGTACTTGTACAATATACATACGTGCCAATGCAAATGCAGGCTTTGTAAGTTGCAAAAGCACATGTTTCACAGTATCTTCTCCTTTATTTTGACAAACTTTAGTTAATACATTTATAACATCACCCACACACTGTGGTATCCAAATATTTAATACGGCAACAATCAATGCACTCTAAAAATCATGGATAAAAACATGTAAAATACAATACTGTTCTATATGCATACAGTAAGTTCTCAAGTTAGGTAGTTGATTTGTTCTAAAGCTTTCCAAGGTAAATTAACAGTTGTTTCTAGTTCCACAGAACCATTATGATATTGGTTTTGAACTGGTTCTATATTAGTTTTAAAATAATTGTAGTGTTCTATGTCAAATTTCTGCAATCTGCACACTCTTAAAACTACTAAAAATATATTGATTTTTCAAAAATTTATATTGGGTGGGTATTAGTATTAAATTAGCATCCACTGGATATTTTTAATTCATATTTATTTTATTAATATTGGTACTTTATTTACACTAATACAGTAAGTACAAATCAATAAATTTATTTATCTACGAATGATGAATAAAGTAATAGGACTGATATATGTATGTATAACAAAATCATTTCATAACAGATATAGACCCATTTCAGAACTCATATAGAACTTAAAAATCAATGTCATAACAGTTCTGTAGAACCGTGACGAATACAAACTAGAATATTTTTAATTCATAACAGTTGTAATATCAATTTGATTTTTTAAAAGCTTTCAATCAGAACCTTTTCAATCCCTGATAAATATACCGTATTTTAGAGTGAAAGAAAAATCAGAACCAGATTTTTAAGCTATAGTACTGTGAGTAAGTCTCTTATACTTTAAAACCAAGTAACTGGAGAACTTACTGTATATTGTACATACATATATACTTACAGAAAGAGCTATTAATAATTGCCATACATGTGGATATAAATATTGTAAAAACTTTTTCCATTTAAACTCTATTTCCTTGGTATTATTATTGTTGTCCTTTGAAACTTTAATTGCTTTACATTCTGCAACCATACTATGTGATTTTAATACACATGTTGTTATTACACCCAAACCACCAAAACCAAATTTTAAAATGGATGGAAAAGTCTTTAACTTAGTATTGCTATCCTCTATGCATCCTTTGACATTAGAATTAAATTTCCTTTTTGCTACATTTAATAACTTGCTTCTTTGTTTTAATATAAGCGTTAACAATGAGTTCCTGTAATACCAAACTATATTATACAAGTACTGCGACACAAATAACAGTTATTAAAAAAATGTAATGCGATTAACAAGGTTAAGGACAGATGATGGATTTTAAACGTTAATATTAAACCAAATAGCAAATTTGTCAGCAAATATAAATGGTACCTTGGATTTGTACAATTAATACTAGGTTTAAATAACACAGTTCGTAGTATAGACATTTTTATAATAAAATATATCACTGGTTATACGATTCTGTACACCTATATTAACATTTAAGTTATTTTATATAAGAGAATTTATGTGTTTGAACCATTTTAGCAAAGTAAATTACATTTCCTATTTATGCTAATTTATTAGGAACATCGTTATTGTATAATTCTATGAAATGACCAATAACACGAAGTTGGACAAGGTTAACTAATAACATTGTCCCAAGGGTAGCGCCATATTGAAATTCCCACGGTAACCTTATTTCCAACATTTATCGCCAGATAGCGCTCACTGTCCTAATTCATTTAATATCTTTTTCTTTTTGCAATTGTTCACTAGAAACCGAACGATGATAATAGGGTTAGGAGTGGTACTGGAAGAATTGATTACCAAGCCACAAACTGGAAGCGAACAATTAATTATTGTAAAAGAGGATCCTTCATAACACTTCAACATTCTTTCATTTTGAACATCATTTGGTATCTCTAACAGTTTTAAGGATAATGCGGTAAGCTACTTTACATACTAACCAAACATGAAACGAACGATAATTTAGAAAACATTGTTAAATTAATTTTCATTCGTTAACCAATTTGAAATGATGTACATTCTGCCATGAACAGTTTTGTATGTCTCGAATATTTGTTGGTACCTAACGATAAATACGACAATGGTGTACATTCTACATATACATACATATATGTAGTATACATTCCCTGTATACTAACCAAACATTATGGATTCTTTCATATGATGTTTAATTGTTTCTTCAGATGCTTACAATAAAGTATTTACATTATTTACGCACTAAAAGCTTCCGTGCTGACTGTACTTTATAAAACGGACCAGCATAAGCGCGTAACTTCCGTCTCGTTAACATCGCGAATATTCTCAAGTCAAAGTGGTTCCTCGGTAAACGCGTATTTGCTTTTGTTTGAGTTGTGAACTGCAAACGTTAATCATGTTTCACTGAATTCAAAGACAGACAAACCTCCGTGACGGGAATAAAAAACTTTTCAACAGTGTTTTATTAAACAAATTCCCCATCCTTAGGATGTTACATTAAGACGTATTCTTTTTCTTTCGTGTTTTCTTATTAGCATCATTATTTGTCAAACAAATGAATGCAAATTATATTTTGTCTTTAACTAAACTATTATTCAGAACAAATAATAATTATATACGCCTGAAATTTCGAGGAATCATTTCTGGCCACACATATTTTCGGTAAGGAATTTTTTTCTCGAAAATGCGTAGGATTTCGGGGGTATGTCTAGTCACCAAAAATGATTGTAATTGACCCCTGCAACCAAGAATAATTTTTTCAGAATGATTTGACAAATTTTTTTTTGCTAAAAAATTTCAGCATCTACCGGAATTTTTTTCTCGAAAGTGGGTAGGATTTCGGGAGTATGTGTATTTACCAAAAAATGATCGTAATTGACCCCCGCAACCAAAAATAATTTTTCCAGAACGATTTAAAATTTTTTTTTTTCCTCGAGAAATTTTTCTTAATAGTTCGTTTCTGATTTTTAATGAACAGAATTTTAGGGATAAAGGGGTACCGGATAGTCGGAACTCTACTGAAAATGTTTAAGATAAAACCGTAGATATGCTTGGGAGTATTCCTGAAGAGATTAAATATAAAACTTGGTATTCCAACTTTGCAAGAAGAAATTCGCGCGGAATCGCCGAAAAAACTCAACGCGAGCGCGTTTGACGTGGTAATTATAATTGCAAAACGTTCAAACATCGACAGCCATCGAGCAGAACGGCAATAGCAGACTGGTGGTTAGGTGTACAACATATCAAGGTCCCGTGTCATTGCCAGACTCGTGGAGCACTTGAGCGAGTACTTAATACTACCCTCCGTCGTGTATTCAAGGCGGGGGCGAGCATTTCAGAGCGGGTGTAATAGCCGCATAGGCAATTAAACGTGGCAAATACATAAATACACGTTATTAACTTTGCGTACAAAGAGGCTGCCGGGACGATTAGGCCTTTCAAGGCTCAACTGTTCACCCTAAATCTCCTCTCCTCCGCAACGAGTCGCAATTTCAGAGCTTTTTCATGCGCGGCCGATGCATTACCAGCCTGATCAAAGCTCGTGTTCCTAAGTAACGCTGGAGAACAACAGCTACCGGGCTATTATCCCCAAGAAAAATCCGTGTGTTTTATCGAGATAAGTCCGAAAGTGGCTCGTTACATCCAGGGCTAACGTTTAAGTACGCTTTTGATTTCAGCGAGCGTAGTTTCCTCGGTGTTTGAAACGAGGTGCGTGTCTCGCGAGCATCTTTTCATGCAGAAGTATTCTTCATACGCCATTGGAATTTTGTTGAAAAAGACTCGGCGCGTCTTTCTGCGGGACGGCGCACCTTGAAGCGGGTCAACTTTTATTTCGATGAAAAGCTTCGTCGCGTTGGGGTTTAATAATATTAGAATGCCCCAGAAAACGTTGTGGACTTCCTTTCCCGGATTGTACATCGGGTAAATCGTACGCTTAATTATAGAATTATAATTTTTTGAAATATTCTGTAAATCAATGCATAAGCTATTCGATAATGTGTTAATAAATGTACTTTATTTCGGTGGATGGTTTAGCGATGGAAGCAAAGGAACTGTGCAATATTTTCTGGGACATCCTAATATAACGGAGAAGAATACTGGAATTCAATATTTTAAGAGTGTCGATCGACTGTCGAAGTAGATATTATGAAATTATTTCGCCAAAGAAGGCACGGGTACAGTGGCTGCGTTGCTTCAGAGTATTTAGGTGATCGTGTGTATGAACGATTCAGTAGAATAAGTCAAATACGAGGCACGAAAAAGAAGTAGAACTTCATTTATTCGAACATGACGGACGACAAGAGGATTCAGATAACGGATGTGTTGGGATAATAGAGGTTCATTGATTCTCCCCTCTATCAATAAGTTCCCGTTCGAATAATAGGAGTTGAGGTGGAGAATCTCCGTTCATTTCATCTAAAGCAGTGTTTTCCAAAGTAGGGGGTGCAATCCCTAGGATAGAAGGTGCCTTATAAATCCAAGGGGGTACAAAAGAAAATTTTTAATGTAGGAAAATGTAGATAACTTGAACGTCTCTATTAATATTTAATTACTACACATGAAATGGTGTGTTTTATAAACGCGCGAAGATTCTTACATTTATATCAATTTGGGACTAAATTTTGATCATAATTCGAATTTTAGTCTCCTGTAAGCCTGTTTAAACGTACAAAAGGTTCAAAAGCACTGTTGTGCAGCACAAAAGATGCAGGAATATTGGAGACATTTTTATGTAAGATTCGAAATACTCGATGGAATATTTCTGAGACGTCGATGCAACATTGCTGCAACGTGACTATTGTACGTTTGTGTGCATGTTACAGCAACGTTTCTTAAACATTTCAGACAACATTGCTAGTATACTACGGGAACGTTACAGGAAGCTTTAGAAAATAATCCAGAAATATTCACATTTTTATTATTTATGAAGTTAACATTGGTTTATTATGCAATATCGTTGTGAATTTATCGTTTTAAAGTAATTGTGGTTTCTAATTTTTTCAGAGGTAAAAATAATGGATAACTAGTTAATCGGGTTAGGTCAAGGATAGAGAACGTTGCTTAATGAAAGGGATTTCTCCACCTAGGGATTAGTAAGATATTCTTATCGAGCGTCTAAGATGCGGAGGTTGCAAAATGGTTTGACCGTATTTGACCAAGTTTGATTAGGACGTTCCCCTACTATCCGCACCTGACGAGCCTGAAAACTAACAGATGTTTGCCCGATGGCACGATACCAAAAATTCTGTCAAATACTCCCGGCACGAAAACAATCGAATCAACAAGTCCACCCCGAAAACGAACAATTTCGATACCTTGGAAGAGAAAAGCAACGAAAATTCCATCGTTTATACTCGACGCGGGGCGTGCAGAGCGCGTTAAAACCGTTCCTTCGACAAAAGCCATCGTGCCGAGGTCAGCCTCTTAACCCAGATTCCCAGAAGGCAAGAAGACACTTGCTTCGGCCGTGTGCATACGGTTCTCGTTTATCGCCGCGCGTCAACGACGCCGGGCGAAAATCCCGGAATCCCCCTAACTGGAAAGCACACGGGATTTCGGAAAAAAGGAGGCGCGTTGGTACCAACCCCTCCGCGCGGCGCGAAAGGAAACCAGAAAGAAACAGAAATTCCAGCATAAGCGTAATAACTACGACGGTCTACCGTGATACGCCGGCGAAAGAATGGTCCAAATGAAGCCTCCTAACTTTCAACACCCTCTCTCGCCGTCAGTCGGCTTCACTCCTCCCTCTGCTGGCCGTTTCTCTCTCCGACGTTAACATCCCTTTGTTTCTTTTCTCCTTTTTCCCCCGCTCTTCCTCCTCCGAATCCCGCCACCGACGCCCCGTTTCTCTCGATCGCTCCGAGCATCCCCTTTCCTCGTCCACCACCCTCCCCCCCCTCCTCTGTCTCCTCCTTTTCTTTCCATTCCTTTCCCGTCTCTGTCCCGTGCTACCCCATGCCCCCGCAATCAGTCGACAGAGAGTCGAGTCGCGGCGGGCGCGTACCTTCATCCGTGAAACACGCGGTGCAAGTGCCGGGGTGGCGATGACGCAAAGTCAGCGCGGGCCAATGGACTGGCTGGCACAGAGAAGGTGTTCGATGGGCTACGATTGGGCGTGGCCCGGCCAGGGGTGCCGTCGACGCCACCGCCGACGCCGCCGACGCCGCGTGGGGGAATGCCGAAGTGTGCCCCGGGGTGTAATATCATACCGCTAGGTGGATAAATAGACGCACGAAACTAGTAGGGACGAGTGGGGACGTAACGAACGGAACAGCAGAGAAAGACGGTTGGACGGGGCTTGGACGAGGTTCGCGGGGGGTTGACGGAGATGCCTGGGTGAAAGAGTAACCCGGAGGACGGACACGCGAGCGCGAAACGAAGAGGGAAGAGGGAGAATCGGCGCGGAGGGTGGCGGGATAGGGCGAAGGAGAGCAAGAGGAGGAAATGAGGAAAGGGTCGTGCACCGAGCGAGGGTTACTCAAGGGGGTTAGGCGGAAAGACGGAGAGGTGAGACAAAGTGTGTTGGAACAGGACGAGGTATACCGTTTTCGGGGGGTGGGATCGAGGGAGAGCGAGAGAGAGAGAGAGAGGGAAATTGGGTGGCTACGCGATGCGAG